CCCGGCCGGAGGCAGCGCAGCTGAGCCCTTCGCTGCAGGAGCTGGGGCCAGGCATCTGCTCCGGTCGGCTGCCCGACTCTGACTGAGCCCATAGCTCTTATAGCCCTAGACCCGCCCTCTGGCTTCGTGTGGATGGGGCTAGGTCTAGGCCTGGCTGCCAAGGGGTTTTAGAGGGCACTTCCTCTTCCGGGTCAGCGGGTGGCCATGTTACTATCCCAGGCTCATTACACACCCATTAAGGATCATGTTAACCATTCACATCCCTATTCTCCACTGGTTAACTGGTTACCCAGGTAAGCACACCGGTAAGGGGACATGCTTACGAGTAACCAGGTATGTTTATCAAGTAACCAGGCATGCTTACCAAGTAACCAGGTATGAACACCATTACATCTCTAGTGTTCAGACTGTTTCTCCCTCTTTTTACACCACCAAATTACATATTATGGATTAGGTCAGCGTTATTTGTGTGTTAATGTATCCAATACTATATTTTCACTTGAACAAAAAAATTCTTATGTGTATGTGTACACCAACATACAACATCTGTGAGACTGCAGTCATCATATGAAATAGAGGGGCCAGATTCCTTTCTTAATCACATTAGTGCTACCTCATTGGCGTCAATGGGTTTGCAATGGGACAAGAGTAGAATCTGGGTTTAGCAGCCACATTTTGCTATAAATTACACTGAAATAAATCTTCTCTGATTTAATGGAATTACCCCAGTTTTATACTAGTGTAACTGATATCACAATTTAAGTCAAAACTCTCCTTTAAGCTTTCTCCAGAGAAAAGGTCCATACCAGATAGGACCCCCTTCCCTGTGCTCTTCCTCACTCCACAACCCTTCCTCTCACACCTTTTTGCCCCCAGCCCCCTAATAATTTTGTTGCCTGCCCCCGGACTCTCCAATTTATTCTCATCCTTTCTGCAGTGTGGGGCCCAAAACTGGATTCAGTACTCCAGATGTGGCCTCACCAGTCCTGAATCGAGGGAAGTGATTATTCCCTTCTATCTGCTGGCAATGCAATTAATACAACTCAGTATTCAATATGTAGCATTCTTGGCAACAAGGGCACGTTATTGATGCATATCTAGCTTCTTATCTACTGTAATCTTTAAGTCTTATTTAACTAAAAATTAAATGATTGAAAAAAAAGCTATTCAAGTTCACTCGTGTGGGGAATTTCACTCTATAGATCATACAAGATTTCATCATTGTGGCTGCAATCAAGGCAATAAAAGGTTTTTAACTGTATTTAAACAATAATTAAATCATGAAAATATCCATATTAATATTACATTGTGATGGTGCTGACTCCAGAAAGACCCATAATGAATAATCCAAGATACAGCATTTTGTGCAAAGCAAAAAATAAAGAGATTCTAAAAGGTGTTTATATACAAAATGCACTATAGAGCACAGAAACAGTTTTGCCCACATTTCAAGAAAGATGTGGAGAAATTGGAGAAGGTCCAGAGAAGAGCCACAAAAATGATTAAAGGACTACAAAATATGAGCTATAAGGCAAAGCTGAAGGAATTAGGCTTGTTTAGTTTGGAAAGGAGAAGACAGAGGGGACATGATAACGGTTTTCAAGTATATAAAAGGGAGGAGAGGGGAACATTTTTCTCCTTGGCCTCTGATGATGGGACAAGAAGCAATGGGCTTAAACCACAACAGAGGAGGTTTAGGTTGGACATTAAGAAAAACTTCCTGTCAGGGTGGTTCAACACTGGAATAAATTGCCTACGGAGGTTGTGGAATCTCCTACACTATTCCTCTGCCCCCATCAATCTAAGATACACAAGTTCAGCTATACCAGTAGTGTAGCTGAAGTCGACATACTTTGACCTACTTACTGCAGTGCCTTCCATGCAGTAAGGTCAGCGGCTGATGCTCTCCCATTGACTCTGCCTACTCTTGTCGTCCTGATAAGAGTACTGAAGTCAAGAGGAGTGTGCTCAGAGGTCAATTTATCACGTCTAAGCAATCTCGATAAATCAGCAGCCGATGGATTGATCGCTGCAGCGTCAATCCACCATTTAGATGAGAAGTCCAAAGAGCCCTGTACTGAAAGACTTGTTTTGGCCACATCTCTTTCCCAGGTTACTTCCTGACATAAGTCTCTAGAGGTCTCTCCACAGCCCAAGGAGTTGCCAAGGTCAGTCTGGCCCTCCTCTGTTATGAATATGCATAGCAGAGAAAGAGACAAGACAAATAACTTTCCATAGCAGAGAAATCAGTGCAATATCTAGCTGCTGATTATACCTAAATAAGAGGTGTTTTCTCTCACTTTTCTAGAGCTTGGTTACTTGGTACACTGTTCCTATGGTGGTTTGCAGACTGGGCTCTGAAGGGATAAGACTAAACAAGATTTGCCTTTTATGTTATTTTTGTAAGCACCAGTACATTTGGGAGCTATACTACCCAACAATGTCCATTTATATGACTTTTGTCAGTTCCCCTTAAGGGCTTCAGATCATGGAAAATCAATGCAGCAAGCCTAGCTGGTAATGCTGTCCACTCAACTCTAGAGGGTGGGAAACTGTGGCTTGAATGCGTTTCAAGAGGCTGAACTCATACACTGGCGTTAAGTGATGAAAAAGCCAAAATCGCCCCGGCCGGAGGCA